CGGAGGAAAATTCCGTGTTGCCTAGACCACGGCCTTGCCCAACACAAGTTATAAATTCGGGCACCGCCGGGAATCGAACCCGAGACCCCAGGATTACAAGGCCAGCGTTCTAACTGCTAGACCACCGTTCGGTACAAATTTTGAAAGTGTAGCGCTCTGACTCAGCTTGTGTGACTTGAAAATGAGTGGCTTTTATTTAAATTATTATTAAATTTGTTACAACTCACCGCGTCTGTTTCTGGCTCGAAGGCCACCAGGAGAAGGAGACACAGGGCAGAAACCGTGGCGCGTTCCATCTTGCGTCTGACGTCGAGAGTGACCGGGCAGGTACTCGATATATGAAGCAGAACATTTCCGCTGTCGGAAATACGTGAAGTGTTAAAAAAAATGCCAGTAATTGGCTGCAACGAATTCAAACACCGCTCATTACAAACCATTAAAAAGTTGTTATGTCAGTGTGTATTCATTTAAAATGTATTTGGGTATTTGTTGTGCTTAGTGATTTGGATATGTAATCACTTCTTTTTACATTTGATGCTGAATGTTTCTATAGGAGAATAGTCTTCAAGGCTATTTTTACCTACATATAATTTATTACCTTCCTATAGAGCAAGAGTGGATTCAAGTCACCCAGCACTGACGAGTTTTACAAGAGTGGTCAGATCTAAGAGGCTAAGATCTGAGAGCTGAAAAATTGACACAGATTATTAGTTACAATAACTGAAGGAAAGAGACAACTTGCGAGACCTAGACGTAGATTGTAAAATGAAATTGCAATGCGTTTATCTTAAACTGTTATGGTGTAAAGATGTGGACCGTAAAGAACGGGGATTGCAATGGAGCACAGAAATTGACTATCTGCTTCTGAAGAAGGAATTGTTTAATCCCCTGTGATGGATGTGTCTATTCCACGTTGCTTTCCCCCAAAAACCACATAATTTTAAAGAATTTGTCAGCGTGTGTATTTTTGTGATGGTAGGCACATTAATTTATGTGTGAGTGTGTTTGTATATATATTTCAAACAAAAATACAGCATTTGCAAAAAGCGAAATATTTTTTGAAAATATGCTGTCGATAACAAACCAGTTACTGCTACTTTTGTAAACCTTCCTTCAAGAGTGGCATTAAGAGTTGTAATTCCTGATCCTTCGGAACCCTACGAATGAAAGAAGTTTTAATTTTTTGGTTTAAAATCCTGTTTGTACGAGTTCTTCGTGGATCTGGACAAGTGCCACTCTTGTCCTGTATCGACAGTGAACGCCGTTCGGTGTCACATTATTTCCGGTTTGTTGTAACGTGGGTCGGAGGACGTTGAAAAAGTGTTTTCATGAAGAAATGCGACCTGTCTGAGCCTTCATCTGGCTTGCTGAAAATTAAGCTTTGTATGATATTATTTAACACGTCGCTGTCGTATGTGGTACAAGCTTTGCTTTTGCCTGTCGCCCTTCGTTTGTTTGATTGTTCCTTTGTTTGTAAGTATTAATTGAATGTCTGTATATAAATTTGTTTAAATTTGTCAGTCTAATCACAAAAGTTCCTATTAAATATTAAAATATTATTATAATTAACATTTAAATATTTAAAATATATTAAATGATATTCTCTATCGAAATGTTCGATTTACATTAGATCAACACTTTTTACACGACATGTTTCAGTTCTATAAGAACCATCTTCAGGTGTATAAAATTATATAAACTTAAATATAATTTATTTTATTAAATGCAACTTTTAGTCAGATGTTTATCAGATTTCAAATGATGTTTTCAATAAATCTAGAAGAAAACATCATTTGAAATCTGAAAAACATCTGACTAAAAGTTGCATTTAAGAAATTATATTTAAGTTTATATAATTTTATACACCTGAAGATGGTTCTTATAGAACTGAAACATGTCGTGTAAAAAGTGTTGATCTAATGTAAATCGAACATTTCGATAGAGAATATCATTTAATATATTTTTAAATGTTTAAATGTTAATTATGGTAATATTTTAATATTTAATAGGAACTTTTGTGATTAGACTGACAAATTTAAACAAATATATATTTATCACAAAATGACGCAACTTTATCATCTCGTCTGTATATAAGTTCACAGTACTGGGGATGAAATTAAAGAACACGTAAACCTCGAAGAATGAATGGTCAGTTATTTGTCTTGGAACTTAAATATCGATACATTTTTATTAAAAACGCTCATTCTTTTTCTATAATTTGAATTTAATAACACAGGAATAATTCAGTGTCTGTTGATTATTGCAGTGTACCTTTTAGTCTTGTAGTTAGCAGACTCAGTTGCTCTTACAAAGAAAAATTATCTCTGGCTCGCCTTTCTGCGTTTAAAGCTTAATGTCCTAATTAAACTTTATGAAGCCGTAAACAGTAACAATTTTGGAGACTCTCCTTCAAGTTGCCAGTAGGTACGTAGTTTTCCAGTTGAGTCAGTATCTGTTGTTCCACACTTGGCATTTATGGTTCGCGTTTGGTAATAAAATTTCAAGGAGGATGCTCGGGTTAAACAGTAGAATGAAGATAATTACGTAATTAGCGTTCATGCAGCATTGTTAATGTGATTAAATTTAATGGGATTAGATATTCATAATTATATGTAACGACGACACCCATATAAATAAAATGAGTCTAAGAAAAATGAGTTTGAAGACGTGAGCTGGTTTTATGTCAGACAGAATATTCTACAATGGACGGCTTTAGCGAACAAATTAGTTGGCCTGGTTCCATAACACATGAGTTTACTCAGTCATTTTAATAAAATGTATCAGTAATTGAAACGATATCGTGCGTTATTGAATTGTTTGATGGTTAAATGCAATTATTTTAAGCTTCGTTACAGATTGTGTGGTTATTTCAGTGGTTGCATGTGAAAACAGAAATGAAACTTTTCTCCTCATGTTGTGTCATGGACGCTACATTATTTCCCACAAACATGGAAGGTAAGACGAAGTATATTCTGGGTTGTAACGCCTTGTAGTTTGATAGACGTTTAGCTACCTTTGAGGGGCCCTGATGATGGAGGCAGTAAGCACCTATGAAACGTCTGTCATTTCCACATACCACACGGTGAAATGTCCCAGAAGACGGTCTATTTAAAAACACATCGGATTTGAGTTCCAGGTTAGGGCTTCTGAACCTTGACCCCGACAGGAACTTTGAAAGGTTAGGGCATTTTTCTTAATGACGGGCTGAGACACCGGGATATTCCTTTTGGTGACGGGCTTGATACGCGCCTCTGGCAGATTATGAACCTCGAGCCCCTGAAGATGCCTTTTTGCCACCTTTCTTCACGACCGAATTTAAAAATTAAGATTCGAACCAAATGCATTGGATATTAGGTTAGGTTAGGTTAGGATAGGTTAGGTTAGGTTAGTTTACTTACCCGTGTTCCCGTATACAGACACACTGTTTGTAGATTTTCGGGGGGGGGATCCCCAAAGGTTTTACACGATTGCCGTGTTTCAATTTGAAATAGCTTCTTCTCAGTTATAAATTGTTTTATTATTTGAACGACATTAAATTATGTTTGTTTTATGAAAGTGACATAGGCGGTTTAATTAAACTAAGAAAAACGTGTTTGCATAACACGTGGTACGGCAGCAAAGACGAATGAATGCATAATTTGATAGAGAAACTTTAGGGAAAGTGTATTGTGGGAAGAAAGTGAAAGAGATGGTTGCGGGGTTCTGCAACGAGATCAGTTGGCTCGATTACATTTCTGTGAAAACTCCGTTCTCTTTACCGTAGAGAACACCGCGGAAGTACCACGGACAGTGACAAATGACTGTCAAGTAATACTTTTGAATGCAGTCCTTGATCTGCCAAGCTGTCAACACCGCCCTCAATGCCAGAGAGAATTTTCTAAACAGAAACCATGGCACCGAGTTTCTGACGCCGTCCGGCCTATATATATATATATATATATAATTGATTTTAATTATTGTACAAGGATTACATTAGCAATCTTACAAACCAAATTGTATCAGCGGTATGTTATCAGACTTCCCTACCTTCAATGGCCTCGAGTGACTTAAGATAACTTCGTAGGACATGGATTCCTATTCGAAAGTTGTTCTCTCTGAGACCCTCTACACGCTCCTTCAGTTTGACCCTAATTTATTAAATCATCCTTTATATATGTACATATATACATATAAATATATATATTTCATGATTAAAGCTTAGACGTACGAGTATTAATCTAGTGTTAGGTCCAAATTGCTTCGGTAATATCATCCTTGTCCCTTAACGACGAGATTGTCAGCAACTGGGTCCTTGTAAGCTCTGGTGACGTGATAAGAGTTTTCCGTGGATACGATTTGTAAAAATAAGTAATTAGAATCCCACTGTTAATTGTTTGCAACACAGTTTATTGTAGTGACACTGGATCAGAAAACTGTTAAATGCGTGATATGATTGGCAGGAAGTGCACGTTATACAGACTACATATTTAAGTAACATTCGACGAGGAAACCACGCCCCCCTCATGGAAAGTAGAAGACCTGGAACAAAGCAGAACTGAGTGTTAATTACGTCACCTGCCGTGGGTCACTTTCAACACGAAGTGCCCCTTTTTAAGGTCTCTAAACCACTGCCATCTTGTGTCAGTTTCAGGTCCGGGGGTTGGGAAATGCGATTCTCCCAAAAAAAACTTCGGACTTCTTCATGTTCATTGACAGTTCTGAAATTTTCTTTCAAAGAATTTGCCAGAAATATTTGCTGAAAATTGTATGGGGCGGACTGTGTGGACAGAAACAAGACACATTCGTATTCTATACAGGATATGTTAATAGTAATTCACACACATCAGCTCGAAAGTCAACTCTGCAATGAGCCTGCTTAACGTGACGTCATCTAGGTTCCTGCTGTATCAAAACCGAAACCATGTTTGTTTCAAACTGCTTCTTCTTTTATCTTTAGACCACGTGGTCCATATTTGTCATACATATTTTTGAAACAGTCTGTATAAATTAAAATTAATGCAAATTAATTAATTGCAACGCAGTCGTACACTTTGTCTGTCTCCTTGAATAAAACCCAGAAGTGGACATGAAGAAAATTTATTTTGAGTGCCACGGTGGTCTAGCGGTTAGAACGCTGGCCTTGTAATCCTGGTGGGGGGGTCTCGGGTTCGATTCCCGGCTGGTGCCCGAATTTATAACTTGTGTTGGGCAAGGCCGTGGTCTAGGCAACACGGAGTTTTCCTTCGTGGCATCCCAACAATTACTCCATTCATACACAGAAGAAGGCAATGGCAAACCACTTCTGGATCATCTGCCAAGAACGTATATGAACAGGTCCCAGTCCGAGAAAAGGATGGAAGGATCCTGTTCATATGGACCTGTCGTCAGACAGAACACTACAAATAAAAGAAATACAATTTATTTTGAAAACGTAAAATGTCCGTGCCAGAATTTCTATTCACACGCGACGTAATTGTGGCAGTGTAATGCGTCGAAAGCCTTTGTGGCTAAATTTGCTTGATTTGATCTGCATAAGAAAAACACTTCTACTGATGTACCTGCCATGTATTGTTTTGTCAAAGACGTAATCACATTTTTTGCCCAGTTTATATGCGATGGTCCCGGGGTAATCAGTGTTTCTGTCAGCATCATTTGTTTCCAACATGTCATGAGTGCACATGCTCATCTCTGGAGTGGCCTAGTTCTTACCTCGGGGTCCGCCTCGGCGGTGCACGCCGTCACGGCGTAAGCGGAGTCACAGGCGTCGTCGTATTCTGAAAAATGGGATTCGATCATTAGGCACACCGAAATCAAGTCAGAATGCTGTTTCATGACGCAGTCAGTGGCCCACTGAGGATTCATGGTGACAGCATTTCAACAAAAGACATGACGTCATTGGCCTTGGTGTTCATTTTGATGTGAGTTCAGGATCGGCTTTCTGTCACTGATATCCTAACCACAAAGTTAGTTCTCATGTGTCATTAAATATACATCACTTCAAATACATTTTACATATAATTCCCACATCCCAATTTAAGCTTTACTAATGCATACAGCCCGTTGAAAACACGTCAGCTTCTCATTCTTTAAAGTTATTAGCTACTGAAAAATCATATAAAATAAACTATAAATAAATAAATTTAAACTCAGACGTACATTTAAATTATCATTCGTGCTACGCTGTACGTACCTGCGTAATTGTATCACAACTCTTAAATAGGACATTTGCCATCTACCATTCTTACTGATAGTTCCTTAGCCTTTGTGAGTACAACAAAGCATCTTTCAAAGCTAGCAAATATTAAAAATCAGTTTTATGAAATGTAGATATTCCATATTGTGTACGATATGGCATCGGCGAGACAATTTATATTATACGACCCCGAGCTTAACGTAGCCAAAGTTAAAATAGATTAAGTGACCAGGCATATTTTATGGACATGTGGGTGTACGGATTGCCAATGGGGCAGTCATCGTGTGTTAGCACCGACAGTCTTCGCAGCCAAAACTAGAAACTGGTTTCATCATAATTTCAAGCAACGAAGCGTTTGAAATAAATGATTACACATTTAATTTCGTCTTACTCACAGACCAACCCTCAGTTCACCAGGAAAAATAAATACTTAGATCCGAAGCACCGAATATTATCAAAACATGTTGAGTAGTTTCGGTAGTGAGACTTGCCGGTCACGTTGGCAAGATTCGAAGTTGCGATCTTCAGGATACAAAGTGGGTTAGCTAGCCTCTGGTGTCATGGCGCATACATCGAAGAATTATTTTCTTGCGGTTGTTTAACGACGCTACAAAACAAATGACGTCGATCACTCGGCTGAAGCTAGAACTTAATTCAACTTACTGTCCCATTCATCGCGGCACTTCTGAATAGCCGCTACCGTCCTTTCACGTATGCCGTCTGGCAACATCCTCTTTGACAAGGCAATGGCGACATCCGCGTTGTACTTTCCGCCCTTCACCTGTTTAAACCACAATTATTATTATTATTTAGTGTTCTGTCTGACGACAGGTCCGTATGAACAGGATCCTTCCATCCTTTTCTCGGACTGGGACCTGTTCATATACGTTCTTGGCAGATGATCCAGAAGTGGTTTGCCATTGCCTTCTTCTGTGTGTGAATGGAGTAATTGTTGGGATGCCACGGAGGAAAACTCCGTGTTGCCTAGACCACGGCCTTGCCCAACACAAGTTATAAATTCGGGCACCGCCGGGAATCGAACCCGAGACCCCAGGATTACAAGGCCAGCGTTCTAACCGCTAGACCACCGTGGCTATAAACCACAATTATCAGTGATAAAATAATGAGAAATCGAAACTGAATAATTTTAATAATTAGCCTAATGCACTGCTTGTAGTGTCTGATTAATTTAAATGCGATGGGATTGATTTGACTCATGATTTTGGGTTTTGTGACACGTGTTTCTTTCCTGTAAATGGCTGGAATTGCTTTACTTTCTAAGGCACTATCAGCTTCTCAAAAATATGAAGATGCCTCATCGCGGAATGCCTCAATTTTAACCTGAACACCGTATCACTCGTTAGTAGTGTAAGCAGTAACTTACCGATTGCATCATCCCCATGACACACTTTATGTAGCACTGAAACCAAAAAAAGGTGATGCAAATATATTTCCAGTTACGTTAAATACATATATTCTACACTCTACTAAGTTCTAAGCTTGATTGATCTATATTTCCAAACAGACACACTTGGAAGTGAGTTATAAATTCCTAAAATATTGCTTGAATCAAAACTTATAAAAGTGCATCATCTCAGTACTTCACAGGGATCCTGAACTTTATGCTTAAATTCTTAACAGAAACAAATACACTGCTTGCATTTTGAAGGAGGTAAAATTTTCTGATTTCTGAGCTGTTGATCACCTCAAAAATGTCTTTGCCAAATCCGCTGCAAAATAATTTTGAATATAATTTTAACATTCAAGTTGCCGAAATTTAAACACATTGCAATTTTAACAACTTGAAGCATCATTTGTTTTAAATATAGTTTTTTCCGTTCTCGTACGACCAAATTTTTATTTCAACACACATTTCTAACAGCTGCATTTCATTGTAGAAGTTTACCGACGTTTCAGAGTAGCTTTCTGCCTCCATAAGTGGGACGATACCCTGATAACAGAGACAGCAAGGGCCTCTGACACGACGGTAAAGTTCTACCAGGATACAAGGGCAACAACTCTGAACGCGGCCATCCGCGATAAGTTACAGCTTGTCGTACGGCTCCTGTGGTAATATGATTACAAATATGAATATTATTATTGCTGTAATTAATAGTAGGAGTGCATATGCAAATCTGTGAAGTTAAGAGACGCCTTTAAAATACAGGAACGTTTAAAGAATCTTGTCACGTGTCAGAATGAATTAATAATTTTGAGAGTCTTTGAAGCTGCCCCGCTGTACGCCATATAGGCGCTGAGGGGGAGAGATGATATAGCTTCTACTCGTTCTCAACCTTGGCACTAGATGGCGGTGAGTGGTGAGTTCACGCCGTGGCCAGGCTTTGCCCCCGAGAAAGGACCCCGGTCCCCATTGGACAGGAGACTGGCTTGAGACAGATGAACTGCGGTAGGAGCTGTGTGGATCGGATATGAGTATGGGGGATGTAGGGAGGTCGTGGTGGACCGACCTGAAGTTGCACAGTTTTATCAGTTTTGCTGGTGTTGCACGCGAATTCTATTTTAGAACAGAGCGTCGAAAGTGGATTGTCCTCACCTTGAAATTCCTATCGTCAGTTTTGAACTGGCCATTAGTAGCAGCATCCAGAATTGCTGAAATTAAATACGTTTGGCTTTTTATCAGGCAATCAATGACTCGGTAAGTTTTAACCGTGATCCGTGCATAAAGACGTGTGTTGATTACCTGAATGCGAACCGTGGGCTGTCACGTCAGGCGAAGTTCTGCGATTATGAGATTGTCCCTTAAATCCATGACAGCTTATTTGTACCCTACAATTCATTTCCAATCTTGTGCTTACCTTGATCGACTCCTGATTTCGGCTGGCACACGTTCCTCATCATTTTGCCTGCCTGTCGCACTTGGTCCATCGATAGTGCCTGAAATTAAGATCGATTGTATCGAAACAACACTTTTTTAAAAAAACTACTTTACTTTTAGAAAAACTATGTTACTTGTTTTAAGATTCATCTCAATATTTTCCTGACTGACTGCGTTCTGTGGCTAGAGTCTCAATCACTACAAACCTACTTTTGATTACTTACTTCGGATGTTCCCAACAGCGCTGCGACCAAAAACGCCGTGACCATACACAGGGTTGCAGAGCCGCCCATAATTCCTCTATGTCTTCATTAACAGTCGACCTAGCAATGCTCTTGCGAAGAAAATATCACCGCTTTTATACGTCATTAACGAGCCGATGTAATCAACTCAGCATCAACTAAGAGCGATTAATTTATACTTGCTTAAATCCGCAAGGCCAGCAAATAACCGTCATACATGTTCTTAAATTAGAGAGTAACACAAAAATGCAAGGCAGAAACAAGGCGTACTTTCATCATCCAAGCGTTTCTGTAACAACAACAACAAAAAATAGACATTTCTTGTAATCCGCGGCTTCTCCGTTCTCTCTTGAGGATCATCATCGCTGAACTATGAAGCTGGCCGGCGAGGTTACCCGCTGTACCTGCCCACTGCTCACCCCTGCTCATTACCCGGATTAATAACACTCATTACAGCTTTATTCCTTTTAGAAATGGCCGATCTTTGGGCGAGTTCTGTGACGTCATGCCCGCCCTCGATAAGACTTTTCGATATGTGGTGTATTTGTAAGACACGTAACATTCTGTTTGTTAAAAGCAGGGATAATCCTTCGACATCTTATCTCTTTCTTGACGCCTTCAGGACAAAATAGCCGATATGATCCAGTTTCAACCCTCCTCCGCTTAGTACACCCAATCAACGCTGTTTGTCCGTGTCTCGTGATCATAGCGAGAGATCTACTTACACATCCGTCAGCTTCCTGTTGACATTAATTGAATTCGTTCATCCCTCCACGACGTGTGTTGTTACGTCAGATACGAAATTCTATCCTGATCGATCAGCCTGCACCACGTTTCCCTTGGAACAGTGTTTGGGCGTTGGAGAAGTGCTTGAGGAAAATCACGCTGTGTCCGGCACCCACGTCGCCTTAGCACAGAGGTTAAGCTTCCTCAAGATGGACGTTACTAAAAGGTTGACGCTTGAGCCGACAAAATCCCAAGTGGACTATTGGCGTCGTAGCAGGATCTGGCGGTGGTCGAGGGCAGACGATGAATGTGTCTGTACCCAACAACACTTTGGTAACAATATGTCCCTTCTGGACCAAGGAGTCGAAACTCTCGCCTTCATTTTCCGCAGACGTAAGCTCCAGGTTACGGCCGACCGTACGATGTCGACTCCTCGGTTGTTTGGGAAATACCGACGAAAACAGCCGGCCTTTTTCATCTTTAGAATGATTCCATTTCTTCTCGGCAAAGTACAAACCAGTTTGTTTGTTATTCACACATAGAAAATGTACATAAAATTTCAGGAGCTCTGTTAAATAGCGATTAGGGGTCGAATTTTTAACTGTTCCGCAAGGAGTAATTTTTCTCCGCGCTCTGTTCTTTGTCATGTTCCCCTTTTCAGTAAGTGCCTCGCTTTAGAACCTCACCATTTGAAGTCTTGTCCCCAAATAACAAACCAAATTCGGCTCTGAGTCGCTGTAATCGGGTTCTTGCCCAAATCAGTCATTTCTTGAACACAGAATTATTGGTTTACAATATTTGTGCGACTGAGTGGTCCACGTAGTTATTCGTTTCGCCAGTGGAAACAAAGCTGTGTGACGTCGTAGATGGTGTCTTCTCGAGGTATTTTTACAGGGGTGGATGGAAGGCACTTAATATAGCGAATGAAAAAATTAAAAGCGACTTAATAATATTCGTAAAAATTCAGATTAAGGCTTTGACCGGGATGTTCTTTTGTTAAATCTTATGTGGTACCGCCTGATTCGACTTCTAATGGTTAAGTGAAGTGTTTTCTTCGCGGTACGGTCTGGATTCGTAAATATTATGAAGACGAGCTTCGGCTTCAAAGGGTTAACCAGCTGATTTTCGTAACGGTGAGGTGTAGTGTTTTCTTCGCGGTACGGACGGAATTCATAAATAATATTCAGACGATCTTCGGCTTCAAAGGGTTAAATGAAAATTAATCCACTGAAAGACACAAGCTCTGAATTATTATCATAGAATTCAGGACGAAAGGAAGTGACGTCACACTTTTATTTCTGCTATCTGCCGCAGTGGCGTCGCGTGGTGGTAAACGTTGTAAATATCAATCACGGACACAGGAAACGTGATGCGTTTGATTTGTGGGGGCTAAAATCAGTGTAAGAACAGTTAGCTACTCTGAACTCCTGTTCCTCTGATTCCGTCGATATCTTAATAATCTTTTCACGAAGGAGCAGCTGGAACATTCTCCACGATGTACGTACGAGGGCGTTTCAAAAAGTAACAGCAAATTGACAATATTTCACGAAACGAATACCCCAGGCATTTCAAACTCCCGCACAGGGAAGATACATTCTTAGAGAAGGTTTTGACACTGCCGAATATATGGCGTGGCGTGCTAATTGGAAGGGATGCATATACGAAATGGCGGCGCCCTTACCTGTTTGCACCGTAGAGGAGCAGCGAGCAGTCATCAGATTTTTGTGGTCGGAGGGTGTGAAACCTCGTGAAATTCATAGAAGAATGCTGCATTGGCGAGAGAAGAGTGTACGAGTGGGTAGATACGTTTAAAAATGGGCGAACATCAATTCGTGATGACCAACGCACGACCTCACACCATTCGGAGATTGAGATTTCAGATCTTACAGCCCTGACCTTGCTCCCTCTGATTATCATGTATTTGGACCCCTGAAGGACGCGTTGATTTGGGAATGATGACGAGGTCAAAGAAGCGATGCATTCCTGGCTGAAGGCACAACCAAAAACATTTTTTTCTGATGGAATAAAGAAGTTGGTGCAACTTGAAAAGTGTATTGAAAACGAGGGTGATATTGTAGAAAAATGACATCATTTGTATCTCTAATTAAATTATATATTTCAAAATATTTAATTTTCTCTTACTTTTTGAAACACCCTCATATATAATTTATAAAAAACTGAAAGAATAATTCCTGCCAGTATTTATTTTTACGCCATTAGCATCGTATTTAATTAAATTTATGCAACATTAGATTTTATTACATTTGCATATCCATTACGTCCGTAATTTATTTCACGTAACAAAATATTTGAATGATGAGCCTCATTGAGCTTTGAAGTAAGGATTAAACAGTAATCCAATGACACTGAACGAGATTAAATTCACTAAACAACTTTTTGTGTTGTGTTGAATTTAATCTTAATGCGTTCAATTGTTTTCAGAATTATAAAATATGATCATTTGTATTATTTGTATAAATATGCACAAAATATAAATAAGTCTAAGCACTTAACACTTCTGTGTTATTTTTTTAGATTTAAGCAACAGTGCACCGCGACCGGACTTACGACACCCGCTCCTCTGACATTCAGCGTCCTTCGGAACCAGCGTGCTTGAAAAAAACAGCAGTTACAGATCATAATTACCAGTTCTCTGAACAATTTGTCAGTAATTTTGTTCATATCCGTTACTAAACAGCTTCGACATTGCTGCATCTTTGTTTGTGATTACAGTAAGGTTACTCTTCGCTTGGTGCCATCTACAGCAAATATGTGTAACCAGCGTCCATCAAATGTTCCTGTTTTGCTGTTCGTAACATAATAAAATTAAAAAGGAAGGGACCTGCCAATCAGAACGTATTTAAAATCAAAATTATGAGAAATAAAATTTAACTTCCAGTCATATTTTATACGTAATAGGGGAAGGTGATTGATTGTGTGATTGTTTAACCGTGTCTTTGTGTGAACAGAAACCAGCGTTTGTGCTGTCATGAATATGAGTTGACTGATCTGCCTCACGCGGGCAATTACGGCCTTCGCTTGGAAAATTTTGTGATTTATTTCGGTTACGTTGGTACTCATTTCTTCTCAAAATAATAGTTGACTTTTACTTATCTGCTTGAACCTGACTCATGAATATTACAGCTTTCTTTATCATTCGTCTCAAGAATATTTTAAACTTTGGCGTAAGTAGATAGGGGCAAAGCTCCCTGGAAGCTGACGCGCCTTTAAACCCACAAACAAACAGAGAATAACATTACTCAGAGAGTCAAGAAATTTCTCGTCTTTTATATAAACTGGAGATTAATTATCAATCGTCTTGATTTTTGTTGAAAGATACGACGTTTCGGAGACTGAATTCTATCTGCGTCGTGAGGACAATAATCAAGCCGATGGATAATGTCCAGAGAGTTTGTTTTTTTAACAACACTCCATTTTCAGAAACCTTAAGATTTGGTTCATAAACTTTTTCGCGACAGCCCTCGACAAATCCGTGTCCTGATACGGATTGATTGTAATCCACTTTCTAAAAGCTCCATTTTAACACCATTTACACCAAGTCTACAAAGTATTATCTTCTCTCCAAAATTTCCAAACCAAAACTTCGTAAGCATTTCTCGTGTCCCGATCCATCTCATTCTCCTTGATGTAATCATCGCAGTTTACTCCGGCCTGCCGTCACGTTTTCAGACAGCACACGAAAAAACAAATGCATTTTTCAGACTTAATTGCGTGTAATTTCTTTGCGAATGGAATTCTTGTCTATTAACGACGTTTCGAGATGTTTCAACCTTGCCACACACGCGAAGTAGGTACCCATTAAATTGACATCATAAGCGCAGACCGGAAGCTGGCGTGTCCCACTCTCCTCAACCAATCTTTTTCTCTCCCTGGATCTTCCTGATCGCGTTATCAAGATCAAAGTTTGAAAGCAATTGTGACAAAACATCTCATTGTTTCGGACTTCTCTGAATCTTAAATGCGCGGACCTTCCTGTACTTTTCATTTAAGAACGTTTTAATTAGCCTAACCGAATTTATTCAGTGTTCTGTCATACTTCATAGCCGGCTTTCTTGATGTCTGCAAACAGCTAATGTGTCCCGTTGTTTGTTTATCAGACGAATGTAGAATATATCTTTCGCTGTATATCTGTTTCGTCCAGATCTAGACTCATGACCGCCTACGGCTTGAATTCTGCAGCAACACAAACTTAGCCTGTTTCATTATTTTTAATATTATTGAATAATCTTTGTCAAGCCGTGCGTAAAGTCGTAATGACCTGAACGAGCTTTCGAAGGATTTTCTATGTGATGTCTTCCCACGACCTGTAAATGTCTCATCTGTCATCCGACGTTTCAATAACTAAGATAATATATGACTTTTTCAGTCGGTATTGTTCTTTACTTATCTGTAAGCTCTTCGTACAGGTCTTACAATACCAAACAGCTGTGGTATCGCAGTCATCGCCTCTGAAACGTCGGACATTAGCTCTACTTGTGTGTCGTCCCATATCTCGCAAGACATGGTCGGTCTGGTTGCGTTTCTTACCTTCAGGAGACGTCCAAGTGCTTTCGTGAATATTTCTTCGATGTAGGGACTTTGTGCTTTTGAACACTGGATATTGTAATATGGCAAAGTTTACTTATCTAATCCCATTGTCATTCCAAATGATCCACAACTTCGCATTGAAATCTCATAACAAGAAATGGTCAACAATTTCTGAATCCATTTGCAACAACGACACAGGATCAGCACATTACACTTAGTAGGTTGTTTATTGTTAAGCGATGGTCCACATTCTAGGACTGACATTTGGGTGGGTAGAGGAGGGCTGAGTGACTTTCAGCAGCGGAAGTCCTGTGTTCGGATTTATAAAACTGAACCAAAATCCGTGTAGAGATATACGTGAAGTGATACAGATTAAAAGCTTAGTGGAAGATATACTTTATTATCACGAAAACTGGGCAAGAAATATTTAGAAATAGCTCACCGACGTTAACAATGTACGTACTACAAACCAACTGGGAAAGAAAGTTACAGTTTCCACCAGAGATGTATGGAAAGACCAATCGTTGAATGAGATTTTTTGGAACAGCCGGCATGCATTGAAATCAATCTAGCCGAAGGAAAAGGACGAACATTCTACTCAGTGCACTAACTTATTTGGTTAAGAAGGCTGTGATTAAATGTGAAATAAAAATAAATAACACTACACAAAATAAATTTAAAATGAAATAAATTAGAGTAAAGCAAGATAACATTAAATAAAATAAAACAAAATTAACTACATAAAGGACGTCTTCGAAACAGAGTTGGAAGCGGTCGTGGCCTATTTAAAGTGTGCGACCACCGGGTAAACAATCGATCACCTGCGTTCACTGAGCATTTAAATGGTGTCGTTTTCCTTAGAACCTTCTTGGTAATCAAATGATCGTACTTTAAAATAGGCCACAACAGTCTGTTTCAAATATTGCCATGACCATCAGCCATCATCATTTTTAACTGTTGTTAAATATTTTTTCTTATCTGTGCCCGTTGTCTTTGCATAACGTGAAATCGTATGTTAAGAGCTCTAAAAAGTCTCTAAGTTCAGATGAACATCATTTACGCCTCGTGTGAGCTCTAGACAGCCGTCTGCAGTCCATCAGTCGATGATACCGCAACAGGCGATGGCTTCTGTCTGAGTTTACTTCCGGGAACGGGTGCGGAGTTATGGACAAATTATTTCTAAACGCGTGTTATTACGAACAGCGTAAAATGCGATGTTTTAGAGACGTAATATTTGTCGTGCCACTGCAAATGTATTGTTTTATGATGTATTTTGAAGCAAGCAGTGTGTCAGCGTCGTAAAAGAGTCCATAAACATAAACAGACAAGGAGCGGGAGGTAGACAGAAGGCAATAAGTAAGTAATGACGGGAATAAAAATAAAATGAAATAAATAAGACGTGCGAAAGGCGGATGAAGATAATGGAAAAGAACGGAAAGGTAGGCAGCCAGAGAAAGTAACAAATCTCTAGAACTTTCTCTAAACACATCTTTTTCCTAGAAAATTCCAACGTAAATTATTTGTATTTCTAGCAAACATTGTGCGTAATGTTTCTCTCTTACAGAATTTGTGCCTTGTAATTATGGTAGAAAAACACTTCATACGCACGGCGTGTGGATTACTTTATTTTTCGATTCAGACTGTACAGAAGCTCACGTTGTTGTGCATTTAATATGACGATTCATGGGGTTGCTTGTCCTTCGATCACTGCACGTAATATATCTGAAAAGAAAATAAATTTTATTACAAATAAACGCGTTCCTTATAAGCGGTGCGCGCTTTTTCGCACTGCCCCAGCTCAAGATGTCTGTCCGCATGTTCAATAAACATTCACACTGTCGTCATTTCATAATCGATTCAGACACTTTCGATTTATTTATGTGGGTAACATGAAAAACGTCAACACATTACTTATGAAACCAGCCTCGAACCCCGTACTGATTTTAGCGGCCTTGCGACATAATGCGCTCTTCAAATTTTACATCCCGTAACAATTTCCAGAGAAAAGTCTATTGAAATTTTTGAATCATATGACTCTAATGAATAATGACTCTATCTCAGCTTTGTGGTCGTTTATTTCGGTGTTTTAAGTTTTAAAATTGTAATTAAACTGCGTATTCAGTCTGTAAACAGTAACATTGTACTTTATGCAACTAATGAGGGGTTCTGTAGCACGCTTAAGGGAGGTTAGAAGTAAATTTTATTTTATTTGTAGTGTTCTGTCTGAGGACAGGTCCATATGAACAGGATCCTTCCATCCTTTTCTCGGCCTGGGACCTGTTCATATACGTTCTTGGCAGATGATCCAGAAGTGGTTTGCCATTGCCTTCTTCTGTGTGTGAATGGAGTAATTGTTGGGATGCCACGGAGGAAAACTCCGTGTTGCCTAGACCACGGCCTTGCCCAACACAAGTTATAAATTCGGGCATCGCCGGCAATCGAACCCGAGACCCCAGGATTACAAGGCCAGCGTTCTAACCGCTAGACCAAGCAAGGCAAAGACACCGCTTGTGAGTTATATCGGTTCATAGACGGATAATAATTAAATATGCCTTAAATAAATTGATTGTGGAAATGACTGATTTGAAATGCCTCCGGACAAGGTCGTCGAGTAGCCGGCTTATCTAGAATAGCTGAGAGACTATAAATAAAGTCCTCAAAGTTCACTTTTACTTGCGTGAGTTACTACAGTCAATATTTAAACTTTAAATTTCCATCGTCCATTCGCATGTGTCGTCCCTGGTTGCAAGGGTTTGCTTACCTCTGGGTCAGCCTCGTAAGCACATTTCTTGATCGCAAATGCCATATCACACTCGTCAGTAAGACCTGCGGACATGGAGAGCAGTTAGGGATCTTTATTTGCGTTAAGCAAATGCCCAGTGAAGAATTCTCAAGAGTTTTGTTCTCCCGGCACAGAGCAAATAATTTTATTTATAAATTAGCGACTAAAGCGATAATTACACTGATATTTATGTACACAATTTATCTGCTTTTAGTCAGATTTTGACAGTTTACAGCGAGCAGAGACGTATGCCCGCTGTTCTTTGACGGAAGAGATGATGGGGTGGGGTGGGGGGGGAGGCTTATTTGATGGTATCACCCGCATGAGGTGATACATCACGCTCACCATCAGCTGCGTTTCGACACTTCTCCACCACGGACCTTGCCTTGCCCTTGATAGCTTCTGGTAATATGTCGTCCGCGAGCCTTATTGCAAGTTCTGCTCTGTATTGCCCATTCTTCAGCTGAAAAAGTGCAATCAGATCAGAGACGGTCACATGGGTCCAGGGTTTGGTTGATTATGTAAAGGCGTAGGTTTCTGTATCACATCAAATATCTTTATCAGCAGAGTTTACCAGACGGTCAAGATATGGTTCAGTACCAAATTTAATGTCGTTGACGCAGAGATTTTGTATACCCCTGTGAAGTATTTTTGAGATACGGGACCTTTTTGCGATACCAAAATCTTCCGAGCATCTTTTATGTTACATGTACCAACTTTTTAGCTATTTTCCTGTCTCTGCGTGGAGTTTGTGGTTTAAAACTTCGTATTCGTTTGGTTTTCTTAACTACGTGATCGAAGTTCTGTTTTCTGAACATTACGACTATGATGATTTTATATTAGTGGTAGTTCAATAACAGTTCAAGTGAGGCCCTAGAACCCTTGGTTGGGCTCCAGCTAACAGGCATTTAATATTCAGTTGTATATCATAACAGAAACTGCAATGTTATCTGTGAAATTATATAAATGTTTGCAAAAGAGGTATGAAGGTATGGAACAAATTAGAGCATTATCTTATTCCTCGGGGTCATAAGATGATTCTTAGGAGAATGTTACTGGTAAGTTGTACTTACTGCGTGTGTCAGCCCCATCATGCAAGCCAAGTAGCACTGCGAACAAAGAAAATGTTTACATAAACAATCTGGTTCAAACTTGGCAGGGTGAACACAGCGTTCTGTTTAGGATTATTCCCAGTTTTGTTTAATAAGTTGAAAATGGGGATGAAATGGACAGAAAGACGAATTATAGGGCACGAAAATGCGTAAGGAAACAGCGTTTACTGTGAACCCATGATTATTCATTGTACAAATACAGATAATATTAAAATGGAACCGAAAATTGTGATGTAAGACTTGAGGTTCTCACAGCGGTGAGTATGAAGATTTCCGTCTTCTGGGTTGTTGCGCTGTGTCGTCTGGTCGATGTTAACCAACGTTTCAGAGGTCATACTGCCTCCATCATCAGAGTATGAAGATTTCCGTCTTCTGGGTTGTTGCGCTGTGTAGTCTGGTAGATGTTTACCAACGTTTCAGAGGTCATACTGCCTCCAACATCAGGGCGATATCATCGCCCTGATGACGGAGGCAGTATGACCTCTGAAACGTTGGTTAACATCGACCAGACTACACAGCGCAATAACCCAGAAGACGGATATCTTCGAAAATTGTGATGTTTGGATTCATCTGGATCAGAACAGAATACAGGAGGAATCTGCTGTTCACACGGCAATGAACATTTGGCTTCCATAAAGAACACGAAATTTGTTGTCGTGTTAACAGACCATCACCTTCTTAAGAAGATAATTTGACGTTTTACAAACAGAATCTCTTCTGCCATTAATGGAGAATTACTCTAGGGTCGAGACACAAAATTATGGGGCTCCCTCTAGTGACAACTGTTCGCATTTTAGAAGAATGGAAATCTGTCTAAATCACGTTTGTCCTCATCTATCGAGTCCTTCATATGGACAAGAACTGAAGCCTCCAACCTTTACTCTATATTGGACTTCCGACCGACTTATCTCACAGAATAATTCTTAGTGAAGAAAGTTTCTTGTATGAAAATAATAATTACCCTCACCTTAAGGTTTCTGTCATCAGCGAAATTTCCTTTCATTGAAGCTTCAAGGACATCTGTAAGAAATTGAGAATAATTTTATTAAACTTTTGATGCAAATGTATGAAACTTAATATTTTCGAATTCCTTTCCTTGTAAATTTCAATTCATTACTAATACTTAAGCTGCTTTCTCTACAGAGAATTATGCAATTTTTCTTTTAATATCTCACACAAGATCGGGTGATTGGATGCATTGAAGCTCACACATGCATAGACTTAATAATGATGATAATAGTTACACAAAATTAAATATTGACGTTTTCTTATGTCCTATTGGACAGTCGACAGCAAAACGCAGACAATGTGAGGTTAACACTCACCATCGCTGACCCCAGAAGTGGGCTGACAATGCTTCCTCAGAATAATGTTTGCTTTCTGTATCTCTTCGAGAGTCAGTTCCTGAAAAATACAAACGCGAAAGGTAACTTTTACGTCTTCAGAAATTGTTAGCCGCTCAGTTGGTGTAATTATTCCCCGCTGTTCATGGAGCACACAAGTTTCTTATTGTGTTCACAGAAGCTCGCCACTTGTGTCTATCATGAACCAGATGACTCAAGTTAATATCTTCACACCACATTTCTTCGTGGTCCATTTTTCGCGTTTTTAACTTGGAAAAAAAAACACCCTTGCGCCCTTCATATCTGTCTGCTGTCTTATTTTTCTCGTGCAGCTACAGTTTTTGAAACTCGGTTAGAAAAGAATTCTGGTTTTGGGGCTCCAAAATGAGCGGTCATTATCGGACGTTAACTGGTAATAACACCGAATACAGCAGCTGATAAATAATATACATATGTTGCAGAATCATTAGAGGGCCTACCTAAGAATAATTAAGATTTTAAGAACTAGGGATATTTTTTTTTTGAAATGGAGAAATTTCTTTTTTGAAGAAGTCGTATGTTTTATTATCCTCAACTTCTGCAATTGACCAAAGAGAATTGGGTTTTGCTCATAAGAAGACGAAGTCAGAAACACTTCATTGAAGAAAGTTATATTCGCGGAGAAAAAAGAATCATCTATCAACGAGTAATACCAAGATAAATGTAGAACTGAACGAGATATGATACTCTGTAGATTTGCTGAAGATCCTTACACTTTGTCTCCTATTGCAAAACAAAAGGTCATGGAACGATGTCACCAGAGTTCATGATCTTCTTGTGCCGCGTCGGAGGAATAAAGCCTGATTATTATTCATGCAGGGGGGAGCGGTTTTGTCTCTGTGCTCCGTTAATACGGAAATCCCAGCGGGCAACAGGAGATGAACCGACGAAATTATGTGAAATGGACAGGAGAGAAAATTGTTCCAAATTTGAAACCGAACTCCGTTGTGGTACCAGTAATTGATGAATCCTCGTACCACAGCGTGAAGGTAAAACTCAAAGTTGCTTTTTCAACACTTTCTTCTTCTCAATTTCCCCTAAGTTTCAAGATTCAAGGACGATACGTGAGGTAAATTAGCAGGATTTTTTTTAAATTCCTGTTCCATTCTTCCTGAAACATCAGTACCAGTAATGCGTCGAACTTTAATAATACCGTCATTTATTTTATTTATTTATTCAGTGTTCTGTCTGACGACAGGTCCATATGAACAGGATCCTTCCATCCTTTTCTCGGACTGGGACCTGTTCATATACGTTCTTGGCAGATGATCCAGAAGTGGTTTGCCATTGCCTTCTTCTGTGTGTGAATGGAGTAATTGTTGGGATGCCACGGAGGAAAACTCCGTGTTGCCTAGACCACGGCCTTGCCCAACACAAGTTATAAATTCGGGCACCGCCTGGAATCGAACCCGAGACCCCAGGATTACAAGGCCAGCGTTCTAACCGCTAGACCACCGTCGATCTGCCCATACCGTCATATAGAATTATATTTTTTTGGTGTAAGTCGTTACGTTGACATGTTTCGGCGGTAATGCCATCCTCTGAACACGTACAAATAAACTTTAGTATCAAATATGATTCAAAATACATAACCAACATAGATATGGTACAGCACAAGCCATGAATATAATCGAATGTTAAACATAATTATTGTATCTGGATGTAACACGGTAATCCGGGTTAAATAATAAAACAACAAGTAACAACAGAAATTTGTTCCCTGTTTGACTTCGCTCTAGACAGAGAGGCAAGGCGGATGGATACCTGGCGTCATGTAGCGCAGAACAGAAAAGCAGGAGAGCGGAACAGGTCAACATGCAACGCGGACGTCGGAGGTGGAAAACAGGACTCCTGTCATCAAAACAGGTATGGATTCTAGATAACAGAACAGTACTTTCAGTGTACAGAAACGGAAACACGCGTTAATTTACATACAATTGACAGCGTTGCAGAAAACAGTTCATCCACCTACTTTATTTAAACTAATCAACACGCAGAACACAAATCAATATGAGAACAGTAATAAATCATGTGAGCAGAGCGCATTAGGTTATTATGACAATGCCAAACACAGAAGTCGCATGGAAATTTATTTATTTATACTTTATTTAAGACGATTTTTCAATTGCTCAGACCGTGAGGCGTCGAAAATCGCATGGAAGGTACCGATTTATTAAAAATCCTCAAATGTGTAGTAACACATAATTAGAGAATATTAATAATTTTTAATGCTTTAATTATTAAAATAATTATTATATTTGTTTACCGTCAAATCACAATAAAATTGTAAGATAAGATAATTAAAATGATTAAAATATCATCTTATGTTCCATATCGAGCACTCGATTTACATCGGAACATTCACAACATGTTTCGGTTTATCAAACCGTCATCAGGTGTAAATTATAAACTTTTAAACTCAAATTACAATTATTTATAGTTTTTTTTGCTGCCTCCAACACGAGAGAGAATTAAAATAATTATTATATTTATTTACCGTTGGAATGCTCGATATGGAACATAAGATGATATTTTAATCATTTTAATTATCTTAACTTACTATTTTATTGTGATTTGACGGTAAACAAATATAATAATTATTTTAATTAATATCACAATATGACGCAACTATACTATCTCACGCTTTAATTATTATACATCATATTTTATGATATTACAGACACATATATATAAAAGCTAATCTATAACACTTTTAACATAATTTTATTTTTTAATTTATTTTACTGGTTTGCTAACATTAATAAGTGCTAAAAGACTCTAGGAAATTATAATGACTGTATTAGCTAAGCAAATTTTAAAAAAACCCAATATTTATTATTGCCCCTAATTTGCAACCCTTAGTGCGGAATTATTACTCGAATTGTGAGCGTTTTAAGGCTAGCATCTCCTCGAAAGGACTGAGGAGGGCAAGAAACACTAATTCCCTCTAGAATATGAAGCAGAAATCCTACCCAATCTACAGCGGCATTGAGTCTGGTGTAGTACTTCAGTAAAATATATTATAAAAAGACATTTTAAAAAATGGTAAATGTTTTCACACGTCGTACTCGTATTAAGCCTACCCAAAACATTGAACATTACGTTAACATTACTTACGCCAGACGTTTGTTTGAACTCCAGAAGCAGCGTTGCCATGACAACAAAAACTACGGACGACCAATGCATCTTGTTCCCTTTCATTAACGCACAACTGTAATTGGCCAAATGCACGTGCCTCGGGTTTTATACACGCAGCCAAGCAGTCAGCAAGGCCGCGGACTTAGTCTGCATTCAACTTCCGGTCTCTCTTCCACTAACCACATGAATTATCTTCTTCATCCAAACATGTACCAAGGCTGCCTTCCCGGTAAAGTAATGAATGATCTTGTCTGTCAGCTGATCCCGCGTTTAAACCAACATGGCAGGACAGACTTAGCAGGAATCAGGAACCGTGCTTCATCAGAAAGCCATTCTCCGTTTTCTCCTCGATTTACAGCGCCTTCTAGAGGCAGAATCCTTACGTTTTGTATCTCAACTGACAGATGTAAACATACATCTCGATAATTGTCACGCGGCTGGCTGTGGATTGGACGACCGCTGTCTCATTTCCTGTGAAACATTCTTTCCGACAGCCTCACTCCGTTTGAGCTGGCTGTGGGTTTCACCAGCAGCGGTGTCGTATAACGCGGCTCTACTTTTTCCGGGGGATAAAACGGCCGGAGCATGAACAAAATGTTAGACTGAATGTACCTGGCGGTCTACATGGTCGGGCTTCAGTTTCCAGCACGAATTACGTGCTAAGTGAACGACGTGGTTCTTCAATAACCCGAAAAAATTGCAAAGTCCTCCTTAAGAAGCTGACAGTCGATCAAATTATGAAAGGATTTTTGCCTCTTAATGAACCAGTTGTTCATTACTCCACAAATGTCCGTCACTTGCCAGTATCGCGCGTTACTTGAATCCATCCATTTTAATATTATCCTCCCATCTTCACAGATGTGTTCAAATAGTTGTTTCACCTCCAGTTTTTATTATCTGCGATTTGAACCACACAGGTTAGAGCAGCGGTATTCAGTAACCCTAATGTCTGTCAGGTCATCGGCTACTATGGCTCGGGTTCTCCCTGGTTTTCCTCAGTGTTCCCATACGTAAGATATATTCTTACCTGCTTCATATTTGTCAGTATAGTCCCGTATCGCGCGTTGACGCACAGCCCAGTTTGAAATTATACAGAGACGCGTTATCAGGTGCCACATGGAAACAGGACATCTTTTCATTAGAATGTCGTGTCCTGTAGTTGTGAGGAGGGTGGGGACGAGCACACATCTGACATGCACAGTCTGGGTTCTGTAGTTACGAGGCACAGGAATATTATACCTTCAATCTTGAAGAAGTAGCGAGCCGAGTCCTTCCTGAGAAGCCAACAGTCACTCAAGAAATTCCCAACATTTGTGGTTCATTACCGTGTTCACAAGAGCCCACTACTGGTCCCTATCCCGAGCCAGATATATCCAGTCCATACCACCCCATCCTATTTTTATAAAATCCATTTTAATATTATCCTCCCACCTATGTGTAAGTCTTCCTAGTGGTCTCTTTCCTTCTGGTTTGCCCACCAAAACCCTGTATGAATTCCCCTTCTCCCCCATGCAGGCTACATGCCCTGCCCATCTCATCCTCCTTGACTCGATCAGTCTAATTATATCTGGCGAGGAGGTCAACTTATGAACCTCCTCATTACGCAACTTTCTCCGGCCTTTAGGTTCAAATATTCTCCTCAGCACCCTGTTCTCAAACAGCCTCAATCGACAATCCTCCCTTAGTGTTAAAAGATCAACCTTACATCTTTAGACAGCACATAATAGGGCGAAAGATTCTGAACTGAGTGGTAGCAGACATTGCCCGAATTTAATCCGCTCTTAATTTAGACATGAATCTAATTCTGGTTTGTTACTGTCACTCTCAAATATGCGAACTTTGCCACATTTTCAAATGATCCATTAGGTACGTCTGTTATACGATTTGTTCCCGCATTCTGGTGACGAGACATCAACATATACTTTCTTTCCCCGTGTTTACGTCTAGAACAACCTCCTTACTAGAGTCAATTAGAGTTTATTTTCTGTCCTCTGTATTGCATTTATGACATCCCCCAAAAGATTTACATCAGGATGAATCAGAAGCTGATGTTTCCCCATTCAATTTCAGTCCCACCTGGTTTTCTCAGACCTTTCTAATTGCATATTTTAAAAAGCATCGCCTTGTTTTAGACCATTTTGAATACGAAATGTGTCAGACAATTTTCTACCTCTCTACGGACTTTACTACAGGTTTCATTCGAAATACATTTTAGTAAGCCCAAGTAGTTTCATGGAGAAATCGGACTCAGTGAGAATATTGTTCAATACTTCCCTCCTAACTGAATTACACGCTTTGTTAATGTCTGCAAAATATGAATCTCAACGCAAGATTCTCCAGCCTCCTGCTAATTACCATATTTTAGGTCTGTTCTCCTCACACACCTGCTGTGTGCCTTCTTTTTTTAATGAGGCGGGTCACGTTTCACGCCCACACAAGACGAGAAACTTTTTTATAATTTCGTATATTTTGATATTCAGTTTCTCACGTAGAACGGACGTGGAAAACAAGAGATTCTTAACCGAATGGTACGAAGCATTCACCAGACACAGTCTACTCCAGCTTTCTAATTAAATGTACGAAATTTCAAGTTTTTTCTGTCTATATTTCAACTTCCCAGATTTTCCAAGGATTTATCAGCCATCTTTTGTTACGATATTGTCCAGCATTCTGGAGACGATGCATGAAAAAAAGAATACTTAATTTTCTCTGGGTTTTTCTTGTAGGCGAACACACTAGCGTATAATAGACATTCCGTGGTTTTTTATCCCACTATATATGTTGCCGAATATTTTGACATCATCACTTTAGAACAGAAGCTGACGTAATCCATTTAAATCCAATCCTTCCTTATTTTCCGTTCCTTCGTCTGTTACAAAAAATCCTTCCAATTCCAAGGCCATGTGTAACATTTTGTAACATGACTGGAGGACTACCCCTTGTCGACTGTTTTCGAGTACTTATTATCCAATATATTCACAGCTGCCACGTACACGTGAAGGCCTTCTGTACCGTCCAGAACCTGACGATAGACGAAGAACTCTGTAATCAGGCGGCTGAAATCCCAGAACTTGTAACATACTCAGTTGATAGGAAGGCGTAGGAAATATTAATGTCACTGGTATTATCAGACGACACACGGTGGTCTAGCGGTTAGAACGCTGGCCTTGTAATCCTGGGGTCTCGGGTTCGATTCTCGGCTGTGCCCGAATTTATAACTTGTGTTGGGCAAGGCCGTGGTCTAGGCAACACGGAGTTTTCCTCCGGGGGCTTCCCCGGTTTCTCCGTGGCATCCCAACAATTACCCCATTCACACACAGAAGAAGGCAATGGCAAACCACTTCTGAATCATCTGGCAAGAACGTATATGAACAGGTCCCAATCCGAGAAAAGGATGGAAGGATCCTGGTCATATGGACCTGTCGTCAGACAGAACACTAAAAATAAAAATAAAAAAATTTCAGGACACTTGCTGTTGTAAAAATACCACACCAAGTTTTACCATCGACACAAGTATACAGTTAAAAACAAATGTACAGTAGTCGGTACCCAACCGTGCGTTTCGCCAACGTCATACCTTGGGGGGGGGGGGGGGGGGAGGGGGAACA